TTTCATCTGTGGAATTGCCTGGTATTGATGCTGAATAATGAAGGTGCAATACATGGACAGAAGATAAATCCATTATGGGACTTGTGTCATTCCATTTAGCCTTGAATAAACATGGAAACATGAATGAGTCATTCTGTGCAATATACAGTATGGTTGGCTTTGGGATGGGTCTTCTGACAAACCTCTTGACTCCAGCATGGGGAGTGAAGTTTATGTGAAGGTTGTGAAGTTTCAGACGCCTGATGTTGTGACAGTGTGCAAAGGTGGTAACTGGAAAGTATCGGAATTGAGAGAGCGCGAGGGTTGTGAGGTTTGGTGAGGAAAAGACGCGAATAAATTCAGTCCATAGCCCTTCTGGGATGGTGTTCCAGTTTCTTATTGGATATCCTCCTGTAAGCTTGAAACTCTTTAGCGAGAGAAACTGCTGCATCAGGCCTGTCTGCATGTCCCAGTCAGAGTCATCCAAATGATAACGAAGGTGGTATATATATTGGGTGATGTGTGGACTGGCATGTAAAAGTTTGGAAAGGTGTTGAACTGAGGGCCCCACAACAGAAATTGTTGTAAAAAGACATCTTTGCGATGGTTGAACCAACAATCGGCATGTTTGGGACATGGAGGACAGTGTTTTCCAATCTTCAGCAAGTGTAAGCTGGTCCAAGACGGTATTTTGTAAGATGTCAAATGGGACGGTGACTTGCATTCCCTTTTCTAATTGTTTGTCAGTTCAATATGGTAGTAGATTAGCTGGCTTACTTGTGATCAACTTTTTTTTTTAAGGTGTAGTATGGAATGAGTGCCAGCAAGTGCTGTGCTGTAGGCGCAGGGGTTTACAGACTGCGGAATCTGTTGGTGATGGCTCAGATTCTGGTTCAAGATGGTGTATGTTGAAGTTGAACCCAGTGATGTCACATTTTTTGAAAGAAATACAAATAGTTTTACCCAGCTGGAAATAGATACAAACAAGATTACCGGCCCCAGCTAGAGATCAGATGAGCCTGATCTTACGTCATAATTTGGCGGTAAGATTCAATACAAACAATGATCATCTTACATGCTAACTGAACTACCATGCGCATGGTAGTTCCATTTGCACATGTTTGTTTTCAATGCCGATGCCAGATACTTATGTCATAATTTGGCGGTAAGATTCAATACAAACAATGATCATCATACATGCAAACTGAACTACCGCGTGCGCGGTAGTTCCCTTTGCACATGTTTGTTTTCAATGTCAATGCCAGATACACTAATCGACAGAATGTTAGTATTAGGAAAACATATGACATTATAGACTACCAGCGCATGACTCATTTGTTGCACCCTTCAGTCCAGGTGCATCTTGCTTAACTTCTCTCCAGTGTCATGCTCCTCATCCTCTTCATAACCAATCCTTCTCTTCAGCAATTGGCTTGCTTGACGGGGTTCTGCACCTCCACTCATGCGACATGCAATACTTGCATTCTGTTTTCTGTCAGTTAGCATTGTGTACTTTGGCTGAATTAGCTTACTCATAGTGGACTGCAATCTAGTAGAGTGATAGCACATAGCACCACCAGTAGTTTGTATCTTTGTTGCTTGAGCGGTATTGCAATGAATGATACCTGCACTTCCACAACATCTCCTGGACGTATCTTCATTGGGTTGATTTCATAGTATCTGTGAGGTATTAGTCAAATTTGAATCATTTGAGCGCTCCATTGCTTACCGTATAATATTATTGGTTCCTTGTTGTGCTTCATAATAATCAACCTTATTTTCCAGGAGGTGAACAAATTCATTGGACAATGTGTTCGTAAGTATATTGTGTGGGTCAATCTCAGTGCCAAAGGAAATAGGAGTGTCACCGTTTATATCACGTCGGTCTGTGAAATAGCGGTTGCCCATATCCAATACTTTGAATGTTTCATAATAACTAGGAACCCATGCATCCATGGTGTTGTGGGGTAGTGATCACTCAAAAATGTGCTGTATGTCGTAAATGTTTTCAATCATGGTGGAAGACTTGCATTGCAAACAATACCCTGTATGCGCAGTACGACTTCTTCTTGGCTGTTGTCGTCAATGTTGGTCTTTGTGAGCTTCCAACATCTTGGTTTGTCCACCTCTGTTACTGAGCATAAATCAGACATTCCATCCACCTGTTATTGGGGTGTGAGTATATCTCAGATAATCTATAACACTATACCACTGCTCACCGAATTAAAATACGCCAATTGTACAACCTTTGGACCCTTCGTTGTCCTAGCAGTTATGACGGCCTCAAGCAGATCACCTAGTATATAAAATTAGTGACTCTACACATCCAGTTAAAGAGGGTACTTGCATGCTTCTATCTTGTTGTAAAAAGAATCCATTGCAGTGAACGATGTACTGTGACCGGTAAAGTGTTCCAACTACAGAAGGTGGGGTGGGTTTGATTCTCTTGGAGTTTTTGGTGGCCTTACCAACAGATCTGCAGTGGTTGATGAGCCCTGACAAAATATGGTGCGATATTGTCAGATGACTTGGCTAGATATTTTCTGATGCATTTTGAATCCCTGTGGCGCTGTTTAGCTCAATATAATACTGACTAGAGAGTTTTTGAAAAAAATATGGTGCAATATTGTCGGATGACTTGGCTAGACATATTTTCCGATGCATTTTGAACTTGTGTAAGAGGGCCATTGCAAGCATGGCAGATACGAATCCTTTTTATATTCAGGAAGCCACAATGCAGCACCACAGCATTCACATTTTTGATTATTTAGGAAACTGGTCACCTCCTGAAAGCCCATCAGATCTATACCCATTATATATATATATTATTGCTATTTTTTATTGGACAAATTGTATATTTCCATGTATATAAAATACTGGACCTTACAGAGAGTCCCTACCTTGAAAGCGACAATAAGTACTATGCTCCATTTTTCACTAATTTTTTCCAGTCCTTCATAGCTATTTTTAACTAGATTATTATGTATGGAATTTTCTTCTGGACCCTGAACATGCTCCCCAGTATTGCACAAACAGTGAGCATCTTCCTTCAATTTCTTTCTGATTTTTCTACTATTATATTGCCATTTTTTGATTCAAAAAGTGCACATTACCTCAGTTGAAAATATGCCATGTACTCTGAAAATGGTCCCCAGCATTGTCATCAACAATGCATATTGTCCCCCATTTGTTCCTGATTTGTCTTCTGTTTTTATCGCCATTTTTCCTTTCAAAAAATGTTTGACAACATCATCAAACCATCAAATCTTATGGGAAGAAAGGCAAGATTCAGTGTTAGAAGTACTGAAAAAATCCTTGAGATAACAAACTAGTGTCTTTATAAACTCAGAGGACTCATAACATCATTGCTAACAATGAGCACCATATTCCAACTTTCTCTGATTTTCATGTTATTTTCTGGCAATTGTTGAATAAATTTCCATATAAGGAAATGCACCTGGGACCCTTGAAACAGTCCTAACATCAACATCAATAGTTAGCACCATTCTTCAATTGTTTTCCATTTTTTCTGCCATTTAATTGCTATTTTTCAGTTGGACAAATGCTGAGTGCCATATATGGAAATTTACCAGAGACCCTGAGAGTGTTTTCAAATGTTGTCACCAACAGTGAGCACCATCAGCCATTTTCTTCTAATTTTTGTGCCAATTTATTGCTACTTCTTCATTTGAAAAAGCTTGCATTAGCTTGATTTTGTGCAAACATATATCTATTTGTGCACATAGCTTTTATTACATAATATACATAAAAACAAACTGTATTTTTCTTGGTGTTTTATTTCATTTATTTTAGATTTTATGTTGGTGAGCTTCAGATTCTTCTTTGAAAAAGTATGTTTATTTGTACTTTGACCTTATTACATAGTATATCTCAATGAATTGTATACAGGTATGATCCCTGAAATTTTACATTTTTTCTGCATTTTATTTCATCTGAATTGGACTTGATTTGGTAAAGTTACACATTTTTCTTTAGGCAACGCTTGGAACTCAAGAAGCGATGACGCACGAACATTTCCCGATCGCTTGATGGGGGACAGTTTCGTGTGTCATAGTAGATCTCAGATCAGTTACCATTTTCGGTAATAAATGCAGATTCATGTATAACTCAGCGAGTTTTGATCCAAATAACATGATTTCTTTTGTGATGGGTACTCCTCATTTCCGTGGTCATGGTGATGTTACATTCCTGGTTAACAAACACAAATAAACAGTTGCAAAAACAAAATAGATGATAAATTTTACATCTGATCAATGCTGATACTTAAAAGACTATTGATATACAGGTTAAACAGTAACAAATATTCACAAATAAGTGGGAGTCATTTCAATGTTGATTTTGGGATGTTATAGGGTGCACAGAATCTCTAATTGTGTATTTCTGAAGTAGATGACATGATCTATTTCCTTTTTAAACGATCTTTGCCACAATATACAAATGCAGGGGGGGCAGATCTCAGGGGGTAAGTTTTAGATCTCATCTCTCATCTCTTGTCCTCTTGGCATCACAGATTCCGATGACACATGAAACTTCCCCCATCAAATGATCAGGAAATGTTCGTGCATCATAGAATCTTGAGCATTTGTACCAAGGCTGTGCAACTTCGGTAGTATTCATCATAGATTCCGATGACGCACGAAACTTCCCCCCATCAAATGATCGGGAAATGTTCATGTGACATCAAATCTAGCTCTTCAAGTTCAACTTCCCACGGCACCTTCTCTTTGCCACAGCACCCTCTCTTTGTGGTGCGCTCTGGTGTTTTGCTGAGCGCTCTTTGTCTTGGCCAGTCCAAACGATTTGTGCAACATATCTACTGCATATCTGTCTCCTTTGCACACTCATCGTCGTCTTGGCCAATCCAAACGATTCAAGTGCCATGTATCTACCACAATTGTCTCAGTGAGCAATACGCCAGCTTCACCATGCCATCTCTATGCACCTGTTGTCATCTTGGCCAGTCCAAACACTTCGACCATGTTCGTCTTGTGGAGTAATTCACTGGGTTCTCCAATCCCACCATTTCCTCTTCATTGCACACATGCTAAGCGCCAAGATCCAAGCATATGGATTCAATTACCATCAACTGTGCTGCGGGGGGTGCCACCATTGAACAGACTGGTGTTAAAGGTGTGAAGGGTACCCACTGCTATTCTACTACTTGCACACATGTAGTAGTATCAAAACAAGTCTACACTGAAGGGAATCAAGCCACAGGAAGGTCTTGGCAGAGTTTAGCATAAGTTCAAAAGACATGAAATTACAAACAGACGTACCTCCACAAAGGGTCAACGGATTCATAAGCAGTTTGTTGGAGCGTTTTCAAGATGTGAAGTAGTGTCCAAATGAGTCTATGTTGAAGGAAATTGAGCCACAGGAAGGTCTTGGGCAGAGTTCACCATAAGGGCAAAAACATGAAAATACAAACTGACATACCTCCACAAAGGGATGACGGATTCATGGATGGTTTGTTGGAGCATTTTTGGGACGTGTAGTAGTATCGAAATGAATCTACGCTGAAGGGAATCGAGCCACAAGAAGGTCCTGGGCATAGTTTATTACAAGTCAAAAAAACATGAAATTACAAACAGACGTACCTCCACGAAGGGTTGATGGATTCGTAAACGGTTTGTCGGAGCGTTTTCGGGACGTAAGGTAGTATCCAAACGAGTCTACGTTGAAGGAAATCGAGAAACAGGAAGGTCTTGGGCAGAGTTTAGCAGAAGTGCAAAAACACGAAAGTACAAACAGACGTACCTCCACGAGGAGTTGACGGTTTCGTAAACGGTCTTTTGGAGCGTTTTCGGGACGTGAAGCACTATCCAAACGAGTCTACGTTGAAGCGAATCGAGCCACAGGAAGGTCCTGGGCAGAGGTTGGCATAAGGGCAAAAAGACGAGTCACGGCATTGCCCGAATGGAAGGTAGCCCGCAAGGGAAGTACGTCATTTTCGGATATTTCCGTGACTCAACTTGTGAGTCGTTCCTTTTGATGTGGAATATTCACCATTCTGCTCACAACTTCTCAGTACCTTCCTGCAGTCCATTTTGCTTGAGCATGGACTCGATTCAATACCTACGCATTCCACGAACAAGCTCCACAAAACCGTTTACAAAACAGTCAACTTCCCATGGAGGTAAGTAGGTTTGTATTTTCGCTTTTTTGCCTTATGCTCACCAACTGCTCAGTACATTCCTGTGGCCTGTTTCACCAGAGCATGGGCTCATTTGCACAAGTTGTCAGGACCTTAATTGTTCTAACTTCAATGTAAACAAGTTGAGTTGCATGAACATGAAAATAGAGGCAATGCATTCATTCATCAGAGTCTGGAAGCCAAATAGAGCAATATATTAGCCACAAGCTACATCAACGACAACCTGGATAGGGCTAAAAGACAGTAATAATCAAGGAATGGTCAAGTAGACTAGGAAAGTCATGTAGGCGAACCAAGCAGATGATCGTGGGAAGAAATCACTTTCGTGGGAGAAAGTCAAATTTCAGCGTTACCGCGCTGAAAAAAGTCCTGAGATCCTGGGTAATAAACGAGTCTCTTCGTAAACTCAGAGGACTCGTAATTTGTATTTACCTACATTTATCTACATTTCAGAACAATCCTACAATGAAGGAGTGCATACTGCAAAAAAACCCATGTCATTTGGACCAGATTTGGCAGAGCTACATATAAATCTTCATTTTCGCTAAAAATGATGACTAAGCGATGACGTGCGCCAAGGATCATCTGAACCTGCGCTGGGGTTCAGGCGATCCTTGGCGCACGTCATAATTTGGCGTCATTTGGCTAACACTTCAGCTTTTGCGTGCAGCTCATATTAGCAATTTTGAAAGAAAATACTGTAACTCTGTCAAATCTACTCCGAATTACATAAAATAAAATCCAGAAAAAAGGTAAAATTCCGCGCAATCGTATTACTTAAAATGCTGCACTATATATTACATAATTGGCATGTCATTGCCCAAGTTATACCTGCAATTCTGAAAGAAAATACTGCAACTCTGTCATATCACTTCAGTCACCCAGTGCCAACTGACTATTAGTCATGCAAACTCCACGTAAGTTACATGACTAAATGTCATAGACCATATCTATATTCTAGATATATATGGGTCCTAGAAAGCCCTGAAATCTAAAATATATTCTTGAGACATGGACCCTGAAATGTCACACAAAAATTATAATGTCTGTGTCACACCCCCAAAATATATTTTGCAAGTGAAATGCAGTAAGGATATATTTTTGGTGAGTGGACCCTGAAATGTCACTGTCACACCTTAGAAATATATTTTTGCCCTGGTTTGGCCTTAGGATATATTTTGTGAATCTGATGTGGTAAGGATATATTTTTCTGGTCTGTAGGGGTGTCAGGGGTCCTAGTTTCAGCAAAAAAACTTGTGATTTTTTTGATGTCTGTGGTATATATTGTGGAAGATTGTGCAATGATTTCCACTATGTCTGGCTTGTGCTTCCAGTATGTAGATAGCAATAAGGGCATCAATAGCATATGTGATCTACCTGAGTTGCTTAAATATTATCCAATGAATACAGTTCATATTACAGATTCTTTTAGCTCCTCAGAGTTCACAAAGTACTTTGTTGTTTCTCTCTTATTCTTCCTCTCTTTTTCCTCCCTCTCTCCTCCTGTCCCTCCCTCCCTCTTTCTCTTGGCTTTTGATTGTAAATTTATGGACAACCAATTCCATTCTCCTCTAAAAAATTTGGACATCAATGACATGTGTGATTCACCTTGAAGCTATTCAGTACAAGATTCCTGAGTTGCTTAAGTATCCACCTTGACACTATGAATACAGTTTGCACTAAGTTTACAAAGTACTTTGAGCAGCCTTATAACTTTACTTCAGCTCTGATCCTCCAGTCACATCTTATCTGCATACCCCACCAACATGTGTATTACCATCCCCACCAGTCAAACCCCCACATGTGATGTCAAACCTCTCTTCCAACCCACTTTCAAACACAAGAGTTCACAAAGTTCTTTGTCATTTCTCTCTTTCTCCTCTTGTCAACACATTCAGAAATGTCTGAAACCATCCTCCAGAAAGCACTGTGCTGCTACCTTCTGTTTTGCCACACCCCCTTCCACAATAGAGGCTGATGCTTAGCAGCGGCAGCAGGCACTTTGCTTGCTGACAAATATGCTGCTTTGCACCAATACAATGCAACTTTTTCTTTTGTAACAAAGGAAACAATGTTCAAGAGCTAGTTAACTGGAAAGATGTATGTAAATTTTGGAGCTGGCACTAAGAAAGAGACGACAATATTATGTTTTGAAAAGATGAGTTGTTTGTACAGGTTTGCTCACTCGCATGCGCAATATGCAAGAAAAGACAGAAGTTTGTTTTTAGCTGTTTGGTATTTATGACCTTGGGAGACCTTGACAAACAAGGTGACATCCAATGCGATGTATCTGGCAAATCAACATGCCATCTCAGAGGTACAACTTCTGCTTGTTTTGGAAGGGGGGTGGTATTCCAGCTAGATGCAAAACCCTAGACACCTCCTGAAAATTTCTGGTGTCCACCTCACTTTGTGCAAACAACTGCATTTGGCACAAGTTTGTATCATGATAACTTCAATTGGAGTGTGGAGCACTCCATTACACTGCATTGGTGGAGGACTTGCATCGTTTGTGCCCGCTTCCACCCTCAAATGGTTGTTTGCACAAAGCGAGGTGGAGTCGAGAAATTTCTGCAAGGTGTCTAGGGTTTTGCATTCAGCTGTCACTTGTTGACTTATGATTGACTCTACTAGGATATATTACCAGGATATATTTCGTATCCTGAAACAAGATCTTGGTAGATTTTATAAACTATATCCTGGACTGGATATATTACCAGGATATATTTTGTATCCTGAAACAAGATCTTGGTAGATTCTCTTAACTATATCCTGGACTGGATATAATACTGGGATATAATACTAGGATATATTTCTAGGATATATTTTATATCCTGAAACAAGATCTTGGTAGATATATCTGAAGTTATACATATATACTTAGTAGATTTGTCTGTAGAATTCAGAAGAGAAAGGTGTATTTCATTCTATATAACTACATAAAATGTACATTACTACATTGAATATTGAATAAATAGAGGGAAGGAGTGAGGGAGGTGGTAGGCAGTGAGGAGGAAGGGTGAGGGTGGTGGGCAATGAGGGAGAAGGGAAAAGGGTGGTACACACTGAGAGAGGGGTGATAGGCAAAGGGGGGAAGGAGGTGGGTGGTAGGCAATGAGGGAGGGGGGAAGGAGGTTGATAGGCAATGAGGGAGGGGGGGAGAAGTGGTAGGCAGTGTTGGAGGGGGTGAGGGTTTTGGGCAGTGAGGTGTAGGGGGTGGTGGGCAGTGAGAGAGAGGGGGTGAGGGTGGTGGGCAGTGAGTGTGGAGTATTCAGCCTCGTCGCCGGGTGTGGGTGGTGGGCGCTCAGCGTGTCTTCGACGCCCTCGTCGTCTCGTCGGTTTTACGCCCTCCTCCTCCTCCTCGTCCGTTTGCCGTCGTTTCTACGCCCTCCTCGTCGTTGTCCGTCGTTGGTACGCCCTCCTCGTCGTCGTCCGTTCACCGTTGTGGTTGTCGTCCGTCGTCCTTCGTCTGTTTGCCATCGTCGTCGTCCGTCTTTCGTCCGTTCGCTGTCGTGGTTGTCGTCCGTCGTCCTTCGTCTGCTTGCCATCGTCGTCGTCCATCTGTCGCCCTTCGGTGTCCTCGTCACACCGTTGATTGACGTCTGTCCCGCCTGGCGTCGTTTCGCGTCGTGACGTGGCCGTTGACGGGCGGCATACCCCTCCCTTTGGGAAGGGGTGGCGTGGTGACGTGGGGTGCTTTCCTTCAAGGGCTGGACGATGGAGGTCCTTTGTTAGAGATGTTTTGAACTGGGGGGGGCTTACCGTTTACCGTGGTTGACATAGAATGACGACGACGACGTAATTGTCGTCGTCGTCGTCGTCCGTCCATCTGCAACGCATAGTGGCCACGTCGCTGACGGCAACCTGGCCCGGCTTGCTCCTGGGGTCGGTCATGGCCCTGGGACCGTGGCGTGGGCTGGTCGTGGTTTTTCGTGGGCGCTGGTCATCGTTCGCCACTTGGTCTTGGTGTTGCTTGTGGCTGTTGTCGTTGTTAGGCGGTCGTAATCGTTTGTTGGGCGCTGATCGGTGTTTGTTGGTTGCGTGTGGGTGTCGAGTTGTTGGGCGCTCGTCGTTGTTTGTGGCGTGTGGGGGTCGACTTGTTTGGCGGTGGCATTCTTTTGTTGGGCGGTTGCACTTGTTTGGTAGGGCGGCCGTCGTTCATTGCAGTGGTGGGGGTTGGTGCCGAAGTGGTGGTGGGGCGGTGTGTCGCTGTTGTGAATGTTGACGTGGTGGTTGTGGGTTGAAGAAGGAAGCCATGTCACAGATTGTGACGTTGGCATCAACGTTCAAACTCGCGCACGCTCACGCCCAAATCCCAACTTCATGAGGAAGCCTTGTTCCCACTCACGCGTGAATTTGTTGTGTTTATTAGAATTTTGTAGTGTGTAGTGTCCTCCTTTTCAATATAAAACTTTGTAGGGTCTGCATTTTGGGAGTACAAAATATTTGTGGTGTTCATTTCTCATAACAAAACTTTGTAGTGTTCACTTAATGGGACTACAAAATCCACAGTCTATTTTTTCATTGTAAAAGTTTGTAATATCCGCTTTTTCATTACAAAAATTTGTAGTATCAGCTTTTTGTGACTACAACAGTTTATACTCTCCACATCTTGGGACTACAAAAATTTGTATGTCTGCTTTTTGAGACAACAAAAGTATGTACTAGTATCTTGTAGTGTCGTTAAATTTGAGTAGGTACATGGGATATGGTTCAATGTTTCAAAGCAGTTGACTTTAGCCACATACTTAGCCCTCTATCATATTGATTCTTTGTACCCTCCATCAAAGTATGGTCAAGAATGACCTGGATATCTACCCCTTGCCCATAATGAGTCTTTCCATCATATCTTTGAAGGGTTTGAATTATCTGACATCCCAGAGTAAGGTGGC